CTCGACCAAGCAGCGAAGAACTTGGGCCCTCCAAATAATTACGTTGATCCCCCTCTCCTCCATCTAATAGTCAAGTTCCATTCCGCGAATAAAAATATGGTTATTGGGCCTACACGCTTGAATATGACCTTCAATTGAAACTTTATGAATTCACTATAACACTATTACTCATAACTTTCCACTTAAGATGAGTATTAGAGCCGATGTTTTGCTCAGAAGAGGATCAATACTGTATTTTTCAACTATTTGAAAAAAACCAGTATTTGAGGTCCTGTATCTTTGGAAGTATTGGACCTACAAAAATAAAATCAAACTCAAATTTTAGAGAATTTATCCAGCTTCAAAACTGGCTTCTTCATTAGGAAGCTGTATACTGTATAGCGAAATTAGTCAAAATATTTCGAAGTTTTTCGAGAACCACACTTTTAGTATGGGTCTTTCGACGCTGCACTTGGTTTTATACTATTAGGACATAGCCTAACACCATGCAAAAAAATAAATGGAATGTGCTAATTTATGTGCACTAAGATGTCCAAAGTTAGCGGCCTATTAATAATATGAGCAATAAGAAATGCACTTGGCACCTTAAAATCCCGAGAAATTAACAATAATAAACAATAATATCCGATTTGTTACTTTAACGCACTGTATTTCAGAATTTGTCCTTTGACGAACTCTAGGATTCTCCACGTAAAAAATCCGGAGTCCATTGGTACCCGAGGTTCTTTGTGGTATACAATCATAATTTCGTTTTTCTATAGCTATATCACAAAACTGCTCTTTCTCAACTGTTTGAGATGAAATAATGAGGTATGTCTCCAATTTCACTTCCTTACCTGATGAAACAATGACTTCATTGTGTTAAGACTATTATTATAAGTACAAAAAAACACGTTTCACACGCGATGAATATTCTTCTGAAGACAGTCTTGGAAACGAACGCATTCGTCTCACAAAATCATTCAAACGATCACCGATTAAATAAAACAGTATCGGTCGTGCTCAGCAGCTGAAGCAGTATATTCATCTCCAAATTACAGTTCAAACTAAACAGGAAAAGGTATAAACGATATTTCAACTCCACTATTCTCCAGAAACATGACATTGCACAACCATTATCACTGAGAGAGTCACATCACACTTCACATTCCAATTTAGAACATATGGAAAAACATCAGTTTCATTGATTCAAACTACAAGTCGTACTGGAAATGGTATACAGGGTGTCCCTGACAGGTCCTGTAAAAAACGATACCACAGATTCCTGAGACTAAAGTAAGATGACTGAACCAAACTCACCTCTTTACCAAAATGCTCCGTTTAGCAGCTACAGGGCGTTAAAATTAAAATAATATTGTGAAAAAAATGCAACATCCTGTCTTCTGTATACGTGAGAAAATGTGTGTGATGATTTCATACAAGAATTAAGTACGAACCTACAGTGATTAAATAATTCAGAAGAGTTTCAGGTATGCATCGAAATGAATTTGGTCAATGTACTTGAGAACCAATAGAAATATCACTAACTTTCAAGAAGACTGAAAGTTAGGTATTGAATGTGGAAATAGAAAACAACAATGACATGTATTCAGTGGCGTACTCTGACAACAGTACTCTGAAAACAGTACTCCAAAGCTGAGTTCGGAAATGTAAAAGTGTCAACACTTTTGACACACACAGTGTTCACCGTTTCGTTTGTTAAATGCTTGGGTGTACGTTTAGGGTGCACTATCCAACGTTCTGAATAGAAAGATTGGTGCGATTAGTGTTCACACTTTTTACTCCTCAGTTTTCGTCGGTGGATATTGGAACACCAAGTATTTTAACCGCAAATATTGACAGGATTGTCATCACGATTGTCATTGGAACCTGCCCATTATCATTTTCTGTGAATAGAATACAACAAATATGCCTTTTTCCTTGATGAAAGCTAGAGCAAATCCAATAGCAAATGGAAATGGTGATTTTCTGATATATGATGATGGTAAGCAATCCTCAAAATGCTGAATGTTATTTCCCAGTTATCATAATTACATATTATCCATATTCTGTATAGATACTTCTAGAACAGTACTGTGCTTCTAGTCATCTCTGGATACCTGCAAACCAAGTCCAGTTAGTAACATCAGAAGCTACTAAACCATTTGAACTTCAACCTATTGAATTAGCGGAACCAGCAGAACCATTGGAACAAAGTGAGTCTGAATGTTTCAAACAAGTACTTATAATTCAACTGTTGTAGGGCTGTGCCTTTGGTACACGATTTACTATTGTGTAGCTTTCATGTAAACAACCAAATATTTGCCAGTTTCACTAGCTAGGTAAAAGTATTTACTAAAAAGTAACTACATAACTTTTCCCAGTCACATGAGGAACCATTTTAGATGGAAACAGCCTCACCAACATTTTCAAATAAGAAGAAGATACTTCTGAAGAAGTTCCCAAGAATAAGGCATGGAAAAAAGATGAAACTCTTCTACTAATAGATTTATATAGGAGAAGAGAACATTTTTGAGAGTTATCATAATAAGGAAACTGTTTGGGAAAAATAACCAAAGAGATCAATGCAGTTACCCATGGGAAATTCGCTCCAATAAATGTGGAGAAAAAATGGAAGAGCTTGAAAAGAGCCTATAAATGTACCTATTAAAATTAAAAATGCTACCAGTGGCAGGCAGCAAAAATATTGGTAGTTTTTTAGAGCTATGGATGCATTATTCTCAAATGAGCCAGATATTGAAGCTCATGCCACTGCAAGCAGTGAATTGAAAATTAGTAGAATCTGCCACTTCAGGTAGTGATGACGATATGAGTAACTCCTTCAAAAGGAAAAAAGCACTAAATGTTAACGACAGACACTAAGAAAAGATGGAGATTTCTACAACTTTCTGAAGAAATGGTTAAAAAATGTAAATAATTCATTATTTTGTTCAGTAAACAGCTAATATTTTGTTTTCACAGATTGTTATTCAACTTAGATGAAAATAAAATAAAGCAAATGGGAGGAGTTACAGTGATTTTATTTACAATATTTAGTAGTTCTTCATCACATGCAGTCAGGGTGATTCACCCTCGCTCGCGAACTGTCTTATTTCTGAATTGATATGTGTCTATAGCATTATCAGAACCATTTATATTATTTATATCCACAATTCGTATTCACATAATAATTCGAAAATGTTGTTCGTTTTCGTTGTTGTCTGTTGGTAAATGTCAGACGGGCACCATGACGGCAATGCGTGTTCGTTGATTTCCCGTGCAGTGCTGTGAGCAAATGACACTACAATCACGTGATTTTCACACTACACCAACAACACCACACCGATCTCGCCTGACACTGTAATTTCCCAACTCACCTCAAATAGAAGGCAACGAAATGGCAACAAGATGGCCGACAAGTGCGACGTATGCTAATTCATTCATGTAATTTTTTAGTAATGGGGGTATCCCGTAAATGAATTAAAAAATCCTGTGTTTCAATCAAAGTGGTATGGGTTGTTTTGAATGTATAATATTAGTGTGCCTGTAAAATTTCAGAAAATAATGAAATGCACGTAAAAATAAAAAATAAAAATCCAATTCCAACGCCCTGTAGCGGCTAAACGGAACGTTTTGGTGTAGAGGTAAGTTCGGTTCAATCACATCACTTTGATCTCAGGAGTCTGTGGTACCATTTTATACAGACCTTTCAGAGACACCCTGTGATAAAACAAAGAAATGAAAACGTCCAGGTTTCAAAATCGAATGCAATATCCAATCAGAATGTGGTTCGGAAATCGAGCGCATGCGCCTCACGAAATCATCCGAACGAAAAGACCTGGGTACGTTCGCCCAAATTTCGATTAATCCGAATTTCGATTCACCGAAATTTCGTTTCACCCAAATTTCAACGTAATTTAAGGAAGGAAAATATCCTTTTCTGCATAAGGAAGGAGGCTACCTTTTTTTAACAATCTAGCGAAACTCGGCCTAAATGAACCTTCTCCATAGAGAGTGTATTTTTCGGAAAATTACTTGAGAACAAAAGAGACTAATTTTTCTGTAACAATCTTTCCTTACTCGGCCTAAATGAATCTTCCTAAAAAGTATATTTTTCGGAGAATTACTTGAAAGAACAGAGGATACTACTTTTTTTTAAATCTAACATAACATAACTCGGCCCAAATGAACCCTCATCCTAGAAAGTATATTTTTCAGCCGAATCGAAATTTGGGCCAAACGACATATTTGAATGTGATGGAATGATTTTTGATAACAACGCATATTTCGGTTATGTTCGGAGACGCGATGGGTGAATCTAAATTAGGGTGAATCAAACTTTGGGCGAATCGAAATTTGGGCCAAACGACATATTTGAATGTTGACGGAATGATTGCTGATAAGCCCACAATAACCGTTCAAATTGAATCCGAGGAAATATGGCAGTATTCGTCAACAACGCATATTTCATGTATGTTCGGATATCTAACTGTAAATACGAGTGAATCAAAGTTTGGACAAATCGAAATTTGGGCCAAACGACATAATTATTTGAATGTGACGGAATGATTGTTGATAAGTCCACCGTTCCATTGAATACAAGGGAATATGGCAGTATTCGACAACAACGCATCTTTCGGGTATGTCCGGAGATCTAAATCTAAATTTGGGGGAATCAAAGTTTGGACGAATCGAAATTTGGACCAAACGACATATTTGCGTGTGAACACCAATTCCTACCTTATTTCCCTTGGTTCTCACGATGTTCTCTAAACATTACAGGATATTCCTATTCGTGGAAACCAGAACATAAAAAAACAGTCCACAATAACCGTTCCATTGAATCCGAGGAAATATGGCAGTATTTGACAACAACGCATCTTTCATCAAACGACATATTTGCGTGTGACGGAATGAGTCCACAATAACCGTTCCATTGAATCGGTGGAAATTTGGCTGAATCGAAGTTTGGGCGAATCGAAATTTGGGCCAAACGAGATGTTCCCACAGACCTGACTCACCGATTGAACAGAATGGTGTCGGTCGTGCTGAGTAGCTGGTGCAGTATGTTCACCACTCCGAGGTCCTTGAGCCTGGTCTGGCGTTCGACGGCGCCGGGCTCCCCGCGCCTCGCCAAATTGTTGATGCAGAACACCGCGGACTCCTGCAGACAGGGCGCCGGATGGGTCATGTAGTCGATCAGCTTTTTGAGCACGTCCTCGTTCGACATGATATGGTCGCGAGCGCGCTCGCCGTCAGCGATGTTTCCGAGGATGCATAACGCCTGCTCTTTCACCTGCAATCAGGGGCGTCGATAATTTTTTTTATCTACTCACTGCATCGAAAGTAAGCGTCTGCTCCCGCATTTGAGGACGCAAACCTGCCAATTTACTCCCACGGGAGTAAACACAATTTTATGTCCCGTAGGAGGTAAAATAAATCGGCTGCAGCTTGCTTCCTTGGTAGAGATATACGTATAAGATCTGTGCTACCCAAATACCTAATCAGTGTTTCCTTCACTACTATAAAACAAATAACAATTTCCTCAATCGAAAGTCGAAACTTTAAATACAATGCAATATCACAATGAACAAATTCAATATGACAAAAGTGTCAAATTGATTTTCGTTCAGATTCAAATATACTGTCAAAAATTGTCCATGTCATACTCTGTGGGTGCATTCGCGAAAATCACGAAGTGTGCGGCCTCTGGTGGCTAACTGTACAAGTCTTGCGAGTATGAACAACAAATATGGCGACCATTGTTTTGAATTTCATAAACATGTGTTTTATTTGAAAATAATTTATTTGTTGATGTGCATATTCCAGAACCTCATTTCTCCCTGATGAAAAAACTCGAATTATTGCATGAACTTTTATTGTTTACAATGAAGAAACCAGTACCTACCTTATAATAATATAATATACATTTTCTGAAGCACAATTAGAATCATTGTATAAATGTTGGTTGCGATTCGATCTTGAGAATAACTTCAAGTCCTCAATTGCTGGAGATCCTTGTTTATGTAAATCGATGATATTGTTCATTCTGAGCAGCCTCTCCAACCATATCTTCTTTCCCAACCCCTTCACTAGAATTCCATCTCCTTCATAAACGCCAGTGATATTTCTTGATGAATTCAATTATTTCTTCATACCTATACCACCTATACCATATTGTTGTAATAGCTGATTGCTTGTATGGTTCCATTCCAGTCCATGCAAGTGTTGAGTGGACCATTCCGATCATTCCATATGTTTAAAAACTGTGGGATTGTAGTGTGATATCAAGAAGAAGAAGCAAGAAGAGTTTTAAGCGAACCATCTACGCCTACTCAACGTTTAATAACCAAGGTACGGTCTGAACCGGAAGAGAAAGTGGAAAAAGCCGGTAAGAAGGTGCTACTCGAAAAACTCGTCCACTCAGAAAAAAAAAACAGCCAAACCCGCACTCCAAAGGAAGACTTCAGTAGAAATAAACCCGTTGAGGAAACTACGTTCCACTTCAACATCATCACAAAAATAATTCATAAAGTTCTTATTTGAAACAATATCACCAGACTCAATCAACTTTCTGAACAAGTTAACTTTTATGAAAGATTGATTGACTCTGAGATTTGTTTTTTTTTTTCTTACATATACAATATATAGATATTCCATGGATAATTTCATAAGAGACTTTAAGACAAATGTAATTGATACACAAATTGCAAATAGTATTTTGGAATGCAACAATCTGCTTAATCATGGGGAAAATGTCAATATCTTCCATGTCAATATTAGAAGCCTCAAAACGAATTTGGATGAACTCAAAATAACCATATCTGAACTAGACGCCAACTTTGATGCAATCGTACTAAGCGAGACCAGAACTATTGAAGATGTAACATTACTGCAATTAGAAAATTATGATTTGTTATATAATGAAAGTAAATTCAACCAGAATGATGGCTTGATAATATATTTGAAGCGAAATTTACAATACAATTGCAATATCGTGAAATTCAATGAAATCAAACTATTAGAGGTAGATATTAAACTGAAATCAAAGACCATCAGAATAAGAGCAACATATAGACCTCCGTCGACTTGTCCATTTGAATTTAATAGAAATTTATATACCCATTTTCAATCAGAAACCCGTAGCAAAGCTGATTTTGATATCTTTATGGGAGATATAAACATTGATATTCTGGGGGAGAGCGTTGAAAATGAGGAATATCTGAATATCATGAGCGAATTTGGTTTCATCTCTTATGTGAATAAATGTACAAGAAATTTCAACAACAGTAAATCATGCCTAGATCACATATTTATAAAAACTACCTTAGAGCAAGAGAAATTTTGTCCAATAATCTTACAAAATAGCTTAACTGATCATTTCTCCATAATTTTGCAAATAAAAAATATCACACGAACAAAAGAGAACGAAACTGAAAAATTAAAATTTAGGAGCATTGTTGATGAAGTGAAGCTGAGAAATTTGTTCGCATGTGAAACATGGGAGAGTATCTACAAAATGAGGAACCCTAATAGAGCAACGGCATATTTTATTGAAACCGTGAAGAAAAATATTGAACTATCAACTCACAACAAGAAATTGAAGCGAAATGAAATTAAACGGAAGGAATGGATAACAGATGGGTTAGTGAAATCAATAAATCATAAAAACGAACTAGGTAGAAAGATGAGAAATGACCCTAATAATATGGCAAAATGTGTTGAATTCAAACGCTACCGAAATTCTCTGAATTCACTTATAAAAATTTGTAAAATCAATTATCTCAAATCGAAAATTGAACAGAATAAATCAAATCCCTCAAATTTGTGGAAAAACATTAAGAACATTCATAAAACCAATAAGTCGCAAGACATCATTAAAGAGATTATAAAATCTGATAATTCGTCTACTACTAATCCGAGAGAGATAGCTGAAACAATTGTAGATTTTTATAGTAATATCGGGAAATCACTTGCAGAGAAAATTACAGTCGACCCGAATTTCCAGCACGATGCAACACGAATATGCAATTCAATATATTTGGAACAAACGAACGAACATGAAATCCAACAAATAATACTAGAACTAAAGAGAGGTAAGTCACCTGGGTTGGATAATATAAAATCGGAAACCATCCACCTACTTAGAGAGCTCATTGCAAAACCATTGGCGTACTTGGTTAATTTGATGATAACTAGTGGCATTTTTCCATCATGCTTGAAAGCTGCAATTATCTTACCAATTTATAAAACTGGAAACAAACAGGACCCATCCAACTATAGACCGATCTCACTTTTAAGTACTATAGCGAAAATATTTGAGAAAGTATTAAAAAAGCGATTGATGATTTTTTTTGAAAAATATGATATATTGGCTAGCAGACAATACGGATTCAAGGAAGGCAAGTCTACAGAAGATGCGATGGTTGATTTGACAAATGAAATTTACAAATCCCTAGATGAAGGTCAAAAATCTCTTTGCATCTTTGTAGATTTAGCCAAAGCATTCGATACCGTAAGTCATGCCAAACTCTTGGAATGTCTTGAGAATGTGGGTATTAGAGGCATGGCCTTGAGAGTGATGACAAGTTACTTGTCTGAACGAACCCAGTGTGTCAAAATAGACAACATACTGAGTTCCGAGAGAGTAATTGAATTTGGGGTCCCACAAGGAACCGTTCTTGGACCCGTCTTGTTCAACATTTATATAAATGACTTATTCAAATTACCCAGTGCAGGAAAGCTAATCGGATTCGCCGATGACACAGCAGTATATTACAAAAGCTCTAGTTGGTCTGAATTAAGAAAAATTGTCGAAAAAGATTTTCCACTCATAGCTAATTAAATTATTTCAGTAACAAGCTTTTGACCATAAATTTTAAAAAAACTTCATTCCTCCCCTTTAGTTGTTATTCAGATTCTCTCCCAGAATACAATACCCTAGATTTCCATATCAATAACAATCAACTAGTCACTATAAATTCAGAGGAGAAAATAAAATATTTGGGATTATATATTGATAGACATTTACGGTGGAATCATCATATTGACTTCGTTGTTAAAAAAATCAGATCTGTAATAGGCAAATTCAAATTATATTCAGAACTATTCGAATTCAGATATTTGAAAATGTTGTATTATGCGCTCGTGCAATCACATATTTCTTATGGTATTGCAGCTTGGGGAGGGGTTAATAATATTCACCTAAAGAAATTAGAAATAACCCAGAAATGGATCTTGAAAATAATGTCTAAAAAGAGCTACACCTATTCCACTGAGAAACTATATGAAGAAATGAAAATATTCGACTCACGACAAATTTTTGCACGTACCATTTCAATTCGTATGTTGAGAAGCAATAATAATTATAGAGAAAATACAACTCTCCACCCCTATAATATTCGAAATAGAAACCAATTTGTCACTATTCCCATATGCAGGAAAACCATTGGACAAAGAAGTCTGAATTACATTAGTTGTGTGATATATAACGAACTGCCCCAAAATATCAAAGTGAACATCTATCCCAAAAACCAACTGAAAATTAAAATTAATGAATGGCTGAATACAATCCCAAGACTTCAGATACACCAGATGATTGATAGGAAAAATACCTATAACCTATATTGAGGAATAAACAAGATTAAATCACACTCAAGCGTAATGCTTCTGTGATTTTTCTTTCCGTCACTTATTTATTTCCATATTACTTTCATCAACATTTCATCTTCCTTGTAGTACTTGTTATTATTTTAGATTTGAATATATATTTTGTATACCCAACATATTAATTATATCGAAATTATATTATCATTTAATTATTTTTTTTATATACTTCATTATTGTTATTGTAGGTATACTATTTAATTATTTATATTTGATTTATTTGATGCTGTTATTTACACATGTATCTACTGATATTGAATTGGAAATAAAGTTATCATTATCATCAAGTTATCAATGATGAATACCACCATTGTCCACATCAAAATGGCAATTTCTCTACACAAAAAGTGATGTTTTCCATACTGGAAACCTTGTACGTATTTCAAGAATGCAACTTATTATTCACTATTTTGCGAAATGATTTGGAAATAACTAATTTGCAATGAGTGCATACGGCAATGTTTCTGTTGTTCATACTCAGTTGGAAATTTGACGTTGATTTGACATATAATAGAGCCATCTATTGGTTCGTGATTTTCGCGAATACTACACTTTTGTAACCTCAGATCATGTAACACATTAATTTTGATCGAGACTCGAGAGATTGACCGCTTGCAGTACAATTTTAAGATCTACGCTTTCAAATTCATGCGTTCGTGGATAAAATCATATATATATCTTGGGAGCAAAGGTTAATTTCCTCCCATGTGTGTTCAATGCCCTCCGCTACGCGTCGGGTTGGATACCTTTGCTCCCTTGATATATAAATGACTATTATCTACTCACTGCAGGAAATATCAACCATTCTCATATGGAAGGAATTTATGAAACGACCTGGATGGAAAATTAATTTGACGACAAGCAGAATTTCTGAGGTACATACATTAAAATTCACTTCTTACAACAGCAGATTAAAATGAAACTCTATTTTAGGCCCAATTTTGAACAGAAGATTTTAAGATCCAATAGAATCTGCTTTTCCATCCATTTACAAAAACAGACTATTTAAAAAAAATCAATTATCATGGAGAAAGAGGAATTGATTGCAAAACTACGTAATGAAATTGAAAATTTGATAACGGAACTGAGGGAATCAAGTAAATTGCGACATAACTATCATGGGAATAGTTTTTTTCTGACGTTAATTAAAGAGATATAGGAGAACATAAGACACTTTCTCATTCCCATTTTTGAAGCTCTACAAAATAGCGTTGACACATTTTCCGTACGACGTTTCGTTTCGGAGAAACCATCAACTATACCCCATGATAGACATCCTGATCTTGGACTCACTGTATATCATTGAATGTCGTTTTCAATATCGACCAAACTAGCTATAAGTATATCCATATGTGTCTATTTTGTCATACTAAAATGTTGTTACATGCACTCTTCTCATTTTTAAAACTGTTGTTCTGCGAAAAGTGCCCTATTGCTATGAATTGAAGTGGGATTTAATATCCTATTTCTATTTTCCATCTACGGCTATGATTAATTTGACAGACAGGCGCTACTAGGGAAATTGAAAAGACAAAGAGCAGAATATGTGTCTTATTATTTCATTCACTCAAACCATTGTAATATAGAAAATAGAAAAGGACATAAGTTCAGCTGTGTCCGAACTCTTATCTACTAATACCATCCAGTGACTCTAAAACGGCCGGTTCCATAAATGTCGTTAAAAAGTAACTTTACAAAAAGTCGACTTTATCAAAAAGAGTCGACTTTGATATAGTCAAAAAGTCTGATGCGTTCCATAAAGTGAAAGCCAACTTCCTTTACCTAAAGATTCGTATATGTATTTTTCGTCATATCTCCGGCACTAAATTTGGTTTGAATGAACTATTTTCACACATCTGACGTTGTCAATTGAATTTGTCACATTGAGTTTCAATTATAAATTGCATCATAATAATGAGCACAGAAACGCAATCGAAACCAAAAAGGAAAAAAAGCACGCCATTTACTAAAGAAGACGAAATTCGCTTGCTGTTAACCGAAAACTACGACCTACAACAGCTAGTTCTCTCGCAGTTGCTAAAGAGGAGTACTACAAGAAAAAAATGGAACTGATGGTGGGAAAAGGCCAGTTCAGAAAAAATACAGATAGAAGAGAAGAAGAGAATCACAAAGGAAAAATGGAATTGTTGAAATTAGAAATTGAAATCAAAAGAGAAGAGCTGATACAAGTGAAAGAAAAATATGCATTAAATGAAAAAAATGTTTAATATAATATATGTTGGAAAAATGAGTTTTTTATAAATTGGCGAAATGTTCTCTAATAATTAATTGCTGAACATTCAATGCTGCCATTCTATGAGGAATATCAGCTACATTGTTCACATTATTTTCTATCTGAATTTCATCCAAATTATCCAACCATTCTTGAGGAAAGTTTGCATTCATATCTAGTGCCATATTATGCAATACTGCAGTAGCTATGATTATGGACATCACAGTATCCAACTTGACCCTCATTCCTAAATGCAATACAGGAAAACGTCGTTTCCACACTACATGTCTTTCGACGGTATTTCTTGTTCTAATAATTGATTCATTATAAAGATTTTCGCTTTCATTATCCACTCGAATCAGTTTTGTCATAAGATATGGTTCGAGCTGGTAGCCACTATCTCCCAATATCTTCCATCTTCAAATTGTTGTTTCAACCTGCTATTATTGAAAATAGTCTGATCATGGCATGAGCCGGGCCAACGTGCTACAATATCCCTAATTTTCAATCGAGCATCGCACACAGTCTGAACATTCAATGCAAAATATCCTTTTCGGCATCGATATATTTCTGCTTCAACACCTCCAACTGAGTCAATTGGAATCAATGTGCAGTCGATAGTTCCAATTACACGTGGAAAACTAGCGATCTGGTAGAATTCTTCTGCAGCCCCCTGCATATCTTCATTATTTGCATACATTTTCAAGTACTGTGGACGCAGCGAAGCAATTGCCGAAGAAACTCTCCTCACAATTCGACAGGTTGCAGTTTTTGAAATACCCATGAAATCACCAGCAGTTATCAAGAAATTTCCCACTGCATAGAATCGTAATGCAAGCAGGTTTGATGCAACCACCTCTGGAATATTATTTCTCATCAATATATAAACGTTAAGAGGACAATAAATGTATCTGCATGATTGCATACCTATTAGTTGGAAGAGAAATCAGAGGTGCAATCTTCTGTAGCAGTGCTTACACTGTAGGCTATGTCAATCGAAGTCTCTGGAAGAATACTTTGGAAATGTCTCGTAACGTCAGATGAAAATAAATAAAAGTAAAGTCGACTTCAACTATAAAAGGATCATATTTGAGACTTTACAGATAAAGTTCAGTTCCTTTGAAAATGAATTATGGAATCGAATCCACCACATAAAGGATACTTTTCAAATGAAAGGGAACTTTTAGTTAATCATGGAACCGGCTGTAAGTTCAACCACTCACGTTCGCCACAGGGCGTTTAGAAGTTAAGGGTAAATTGATAACTTTTGTTGGGAACTAAAATTCAGCCTAACATTCCGAAACACAAATCAACGATTTGGAAGAAATTTCACCAAAATCGGACAAGAATAAAAAAATTGACAGGGCGAACAATTTGGCAAAATATTTTTGTGACCGTTTTTTTTGTGCCGGTGGGTGTGTATGAACTAAAATTCGTCTTATTTTAACTAACAAAAAATCACATACCTCGGGTGAGTGGGGGCCTTCTAGGACTAGAACAACACCCTGCATCACTTGGGGACCATGCAGTGCCATCATGGTATCGGTGTGTGTTCGGGGGGAGACTAGGTTGCGAAGGAGACCAAGTGTTTTCATCAAGACCTGCATTAGGAAAAAGGTAGAATCACCGCACTCATCACATTAAATAGTTATTTATTATACAAGGAAAAGAAGTAGTCGATTTAAGCTCCAGGTTTTGTTGTCTCCCGATGCGTAGCGGAATACTGTGAGATATTTTTTTCTGTGACAGGAAAAAGGACGAATCGATATTGAGAAGATATTACATCATATCAAAATCAGAAAATTATCGACGTGAAATTTGAAGTTTTCAACAGGAATGATACCTGCATCTTTTCGCAGGCATCTTTATCATTCTTCTGGAGTAATCAAATATCTGTCAGTCTGATTCTGTGATTTGATTTTCAAAAATTGCGAATTTAGTGGTTGTTTAATAATTTACGTAACCGCGAAGTCGAATGAAAGATAAAAGGACTTGCAGTTCATTCTCGGAGACGGTGTTATTGGCTTATTTTCCGGAACTATTGCAGAACAAAAGCCATCAACAAAGTATACAGTGTGTCCCACTTACCATGCTCACCATGGGTATGTTTTTAACGGTGAGAGATATGAGATCGGTTAAATGACACCAAATGTGGAGTTTGTCAAGGCCAACTATTATGTGAAAAAATACTTTGATAAAATCTATTCGTTTTTGTTTCATACGCAAAAAACAGATTCTGATCATTTCCATGTCTCCTCCGTAACTTCTTTATTTATGGAAATATTCTAATAGCAATTTCACATTCTTATGGCAGTTTTTCAAAGTGATTTCGAGAAAAATAGGAAATTCATACCAACTCTTCTAGAATTTGAGATATCAGCACCAACTTTAGTTTTTCAAATGTAGGTCATAGCTCACTATGACTTAGTTACAAATAACTTTTTTTTCTCTTACAGATGATATTTCGCAGTAATAGTTTTGTGTTGATAACAACGGAGTTATCGTCATTTATACAAAAACAAAAAATTATTTGGAAGCCGCCATCTTGAATTTATAAATTTTAACAAAAAAATCATGATCTCCGACCTCAAAAACCCCCACTTACCAATTTTGAATGGAATCGGACCAAATCTTGTCCGCCATCTTGGAGCAGCCATTTTTTTTAATTTCAACAAAAATTCCATAACTCCGATTAACTTGAAATTTGGCAGTGTTCAAAATGGCTGCTCCAAGATGGCGGACAAGATTTGGTCCATTCCATTCAACATTGGTAAGTGGGGGTTTTTGAGGTCGGAGATCATGATTTTTTTGTTGAAATTTATAAATTCAAGATGGCGGCTTCCAAATAATTTCTTGTTTTTGTATAAATGACGATAACTCCGTTGTTATCAACACAAAACTATTACTGCGACACATCATCTGTAAGAGAAAAAAAAGTTATTTGTTACTAAGTCATAGTGTGCTATGACTTACATTTGAAAAACTAGAGTTGGTGCTGATATCTAAAATTCTAGAAGAGTTGGTATAAATTTCATATTCTATTCGAAATCACTTCGAAAAACTGCCATGAGAATGTGAAATTCCCATTTGAATGAAAAAGTGACATTTTATAACCTGTCAACAGAGATGATATTTCAAATTTTCAAATTATGAATTGAATGGAATTTCCACGAACAAGTCATTCAAGTTTTGGTTCCGCTAGGTTGAGATAGAATTAATAGAAGAATCGACGATTTCTTTCTCCAAACGGAAAGTGGCATATCGTTATTGTGGTAAGAAATTGGTAATAAAATAGTTAAGTATAAATTATTATGGTATATTTCAAGTTTTCAAAAAACTAAATTCAATGTTATGGTTCTGCTAGCAGAGCCGTTGGTCTTTTCTGTTGTATGAAGGGTTATGATTTTGTGGTGATAAATTGGTAATAAATTACAAACTTATTGAAGACTCAATGGAATTTCAAAAAACATGTGTTTTTGAGTGCTATCTTGGGATCGAGATAGAAAAATCGGCGTTTTTCAATCTAAAGATGAGTAAAAAATTCGTGATCAATAAATTTCCAGCTACGGTTCTGCTATGTTGACATAAAGCTAGCAGAGCCGTGGGTTTTTTTCTGTTAAATGAAGGGTAAAAAGTTCGCGAATATGGTAATAAATTATAGGACTATTACAAATCTGAAATATTGAAGTGGATTCGCTAAGTTTAACGGGGGGAATAATTTTCCTTGACATATTCGTATAATCGAATTGCTGCATATTTTGAACTGATACTTCTCGTATGATATGTATTTGATAGAATCATTAATTCTAAAAATCAACATATATGCTCAAACTAACTACAAAATAGTCAAAATGCTCATGATGGAATGAAATGTTAATAACGAAGTCATTCCACAAGTTAGTGTTCAATAATATCACCAACAATGGTAGATAACATGAGCTTAGGTTAGGTTATTGAATTACATGCTCCCGAAATATATTGCAACGTTTCATATAAACAAAAATACTGAATGCAAGTGTTTCTTTCCTAAATGTCGAACTGTTTTCATGTTAGCACTTAATATCTACAGACCGGCTTTTGCCCCTCATCAGCGTATGGTAGTCATTATCTAAGCGAAACCTGACCCAACGAAAATCTAAATCCACTCAGACATTCTGGCTCATGACAACGAGGAAACATCGACGTCTAGAGCAGAGGGAGTTTTGACTTCCTTATTAACATTTAGTTTGACTGAGCATTTTGGCTATTTCGTAGTTGAAATAGCGCCTGTCGGTAATCAGCCACTCCCTTATTTCTGGAGGTGTAAGTACTTCCATGTCGCTATCACTGTCCATTATATAATAATTTAAATATACCGATATTTTTTCGTACAACTGTCAGAATTTTCATGAATTGTCAAACTATAATTATCATGGACAACTGCGATTTCTATCAAATTTCATTTTAATTGAACACTACAGGAAAAATAAAGAGATTGTGGGAATTGTAATAATTTGCAATCATTACAATATCCTCCTAAATCATTATTAACAATCGGAGAAAAAATTATATGTTCAACTCGGCAGCAAAATAGATTGACTGCCTTAGCTGGATTCCTAGCCTCGCTACGCTCGGCTATGAATTCAGCCTCGGCAGTCAATCTACTACTTTGCTGCCTAGTTAAACAAATAACTATTTCCTTGTAGGACTCATTTTTTATTGTTAGACTAATTTCTTATATGGCTGATGATGGACATACATTATGTATGTCGTATGTTCGAAAACATGTTCCCTTGATGTGATTTTCCATAATAAACCTTGATGTGAGGGTTCACAATAAATTGCCAAGGAGATCATTTTGTGTATTATTCAGTATTTACCACTGTACAGGGTGTTCAGTTTTCGATGCTTTGCGCGATATCTCAGTTATCTTTGGTCATAGTGTTGCGGTTTGCACATCACTGTCTTACTTTTTTGTGAAACGAATATTGCCGCAAACGGAATTTCCACAGTACTTCATGTTTTTGAGATACAGGGAGAAGCTGAAAATTTTCGCTTTTTGAGCAACGCATCTTGGTTACAGAAAATGTAGCCAAATTATCTGAAAGATGGTGAAACTTCAGAAGTTTCTGTATAAAAAGTCTAAAAATAACTAACAAAATATATTAACTATGAGTTATCATGCTCCTTCTGTAGGCCTTACTTTGTATATGCTAACAGAAAAACGAAAAACTCGTAACTGTCATGTCCAGAAGTAAAAGTTATTTATTAAAACATTTACAATCAGTTTTATAGGTTAGTGGTAATCATGAAAAAAGTCCAATTCTCAAAAGGGGTAGGTATACATATAGGTCACTCTCTTGCTCTATCTAGAGTGTTAACTTTCTTCATATTATTATCACTTCTAATAACAGTTAGTTTATGTACTTCACTGCAGTAGTTATTTTTCCATGTTTATTTTACTAATTTTGCGATTTGATGGAAAAACAAATTTTACCTACTACTCATGTATACCTAATGGAGATGTCAAAAAATGAAAATCACACAATTTTGAAAGATACCAGAACTGAGACTAAAGTAAGACTTATCAGATTTTGTAATCAAATACTTTGATTGACTCTTGATTCAGCCTTCTGCGTTGAAAATAATATACTTATTCTTAATAATTTCCTGTAATTGTGTGAAATCTGTGTTACCTACTTCAATACGATCTTTTCATTGATTCTGACTATTTTATCATTTCTGTAGCTTCTTATTCAGAACCATTATTCGAAATTCGAATTTTGCGTTGGTATTGGGTAGGGTCAAAATCGATTCCTAAGCAACTATTTTCGGTATTTCCAACGCGAAGCGAAATATCGCGAATTTTACCTTTTCTGGGTTTGAAGCTTTCACTCGGACTAAGTATGGCGAAAAGTGCGGCCCATGAAGACTGAAATACAGGGGTGTCTTCATCTTCAGTGTGCCACACACTGTATTAGTTAGATAATAGTTCGGACACAGCTGAACTGCTGTCCTATTCTATTTTCTATATTACAATGGTTTGAGTGGATAAAATAATAAGACATATTATGTTCTGCTCGCCTAATTGTCAGATACGATTTTAGTGGTTAGATTTTCTGTCAAATTAAGCATAGCCGTAGATTGAGAATAGAAATAGGGTTTAAACACCCACTTCAATTTATATACACTTTTCGCGAAACAATAGTTATGGAAATTAAAAGAATGCTTGTAACATCATTTTAATATGACAAAATAGACACATATGGATATACTTATAAAAACTGTACTGGAGTGATAAAACATGAAGATATTAATATTAAATTAAAAGGTAGGTATTCTCAATATATCATGTTTTTACAATTGAATTCAAAATCACCATTACACAATATTATGCAGAAATATTGAAATACCACTGTCCAAGTCGCAACTAGGAGAAATTTATTAAGATGAAGATTATCACTGATAATGAAATGTGAACTTGGTATGTGTTGAAAACGCCATTCTCGTTGCAATTTACTTGATTTTCTCAGTATCGTTCTCAAATTTTCAATTTCATTACGTAGGTAGTTTTGCATTCTCCATGATAATTTTGTAAATGGATTCGACAGTAGATTCTCTCCAACGGATCTTTTAAAATAAACCGTCGTATACAGGATGCTGTCTTTTTATCGTTTCAGCAAATTATTTTTTTCGTCGTCCCCATTTAAAAAAAATTGGTAAAAAAATAAAACTTCTTTTAGATGGCCATGACTTCGAAACTAGATGTATTTTTTAATGCTGAACAACTTTTCTAAATAACATTTCCCGAGATTTTTCAAAATAAGTGTACTTTACTCTTGTCTCAATATCAAATATTTGAAGGCTCCTCGTACATTATGTGAGTTTTACTGTATTTTGTTGGTGCATGTTCAGTTTTAGGGGATGCACAAACTTCTATCAGGAATAACTTCGTCGAAAAACCCTTAATAAAAAAACCCTTAATAAATAAGTTTTCCATATGGTGCATACTTTGGGGATGACACTGTATAGCAACTATCACCCTTAATGCTGCTATCATAGCCGCTTTCCAATTGAAAATTTGTTTCCCTCGAAATGAACCAGTACATTGGAACATACTTTTTATCCGAGTATTTTCAGTGACATTTTATCGACGGATGTCCCGCCAGAGTGACTCGTATTTTGAATTCAGGAATAATTTCGTCGAAAAACCCTTAATAAATAGGTTTTCCATATGGTGCATACTTTGGGGGTGACACTGTATATCTCCAGGGCTTCAGTTTGAAAAGTTATCAACAATGGCTTTCTTCTGCTAATACAAGTGATTGAGCGAAATAATACATGTGTTCCTACCTTTGTGTCAGGATCTGCTAGTAGCCTAAATATCTGATCTGTTCCTAGAGTTGTCAGAATTTGAGATTTTAGTCTTTGCTCAGCTTGGAAAGCAAGATTCATCAATGCCCAAACACCATTCAACCTGAGACTAGGATCTGGCTGTGAAGTAATTGTAGCTAGTAACTGTACAACTCCTTGTTGAATCATCGGTTCTTTGGCAGGAGAAAATTCGAGTAGCAAGTTGCACAAGGCTGAGGAAGCGGCTGTCAGTAGCTCGGTACTTGGATTATCTGAAAGGACAAATATTTTGGCGCATTCATTTATATTCTACCAATAATTTTCTGTAATTCATAGAATTTATATGCGTAGCTTTGCTTTTAAAGGCCCATAATCCATTTCCCTACACTATTTAATCGGATTTGTTTAAATAAATCATTAGTACAATTATGAATTGCCAATGACTTGGTGAATTTGCATAGCTTTGCTTTCATAGTGTCATAATTTATTTCCTTATACCCCTCTGTGGGAGTTTTTTAGTACATTCATGAATTGCCAATGAATTTTCTTCTTTCTTCTTCTTTATTTGTTTATTCCATAGTAATGCCGAATGATGTTTTCATAGAAGAGGCAACAATTTAGCTGATTTTCCATAATTTTGATAAGAATTATACAGAGTAGTTTGTAGAACATTGAATTTTTGAAAAACTATTAGAATACTTTTTTGCAAATGGAAGCTTCTTTTTATTATTTCACTAGCTGTACCCTGAGCGCGTTGCTATGCTACTTACTTAAATACTTACTAAAATAAATATTTAATTTATTTCGAGTTATTTTATTTATTATATTTATTATAGCTGCCCAGCAAATGTTGTTTTGCTATGTACAGTATTTGTAGAAAATACTTTTTCAATATTCAACAACACACTTTACTTATTTTTTTTTTCTGCTTCTGTTTAGTTTGACATAAACGCATGTTTTCTTAGTGTCTCAAACTACTATTTATTTTCTACTTCTTTCCAGTTCGTTAATCGATCTCTTTAGTTTTCTAAACTACTATTTATTTTCTACTTCTTTTTAATTTTGCTATCTATTGAAGCGTGTATTTCATTAGATTTTTCACAAAACTATTTATTAAATAGCTCGTTCGACATATTGGATCTGCCATCTTGATTTTTCTAATAATGACGAAGGAATCATAATCTTCGACCACAAAAACCCTCAGATACCAATTTTGAATACATTCGGATCATAATTTCAAAACTCGTTCGTCAGTAGCCAGGTGAATTTGCTCTGCGAAAGGTCCGGTAGTGTTCATTTTTGGATATGTTTTAGAGTTCGGAGTTCTTATGAAAACCCCAAATTTGCGACCAGAGCGGCCACCCGCACGATCCGCCATCTTGGAAAATGGCGACGAAAATTGTTAATTTTTGCATTAACCTCTCACTGACGAGTCCTAGCACAAAAATACCTATTATAAGTCTTATAGACGACTAATTTCCCTACAAGTAATGTTTGAAACATTCAGTTGTACGACTCATGGTAAGGGAGATGTAACGCTTCGAAATGATGCAATTTGCAATAAAATAGGAAAATACGCAGTTATGAGTTCCCGTTACCTGTGAAATTTAAGTATGACAATCGAGTTGATCTCTAATGAGGGCTAACATTTTCAGTCTCACCAGTGGGCGTTACTAAAACGTGAGGTCAACATCAAAGTCAAAAATCACAAATTTTTGCCGGATATTCCTGAAGGATGTGACCTGTTTTAACAAAAATGAACAAATAGACCTCATGTTATGGAAATACTTGAGCAGACTTACATTTTTACTCTCCTCTTACTTTACGACCAATTATTACATTGAAGGAGAAGATATCATAGGAAGGGGGCAAACGACGAAAAGAAGTATATTTATCAATTCTACCAACTATGACTTCACGTTTTAGTGGCGCGATCAGGTGGACAATAAATGATTTTAGACCTCATTGTCATGTGATACCTACCTTACCCAAATCTAAACATGGAGTATAAAAATAAAGCTTCCATTGAAATGTTTTCAAGAGATATCATTATGATGTCCGATAGTCAAGCCATTAAAGCGGTGGCTTTCAACTATCAGCTATAAAACGCAGTCACCCTTCTATCAGTTCCGGGACATTCCGGAGTAGAAGGAAATGAAGTAGCGGACAAACACGCTAGAAAAGGAATTCAAACACACTTCGTGGGGTCAGAACCTTCCTGTGGAATGACCAACAGTTACCAGTGGCGGCTCCTCGGAGGAGGCAACGGAGGCTGAGCCTCCTCAAAGATTCTCCTAAAACTGATATTATCCATATTTTCTCATTAAAAGGATACCAAAATACATGGATTTTGATTTCATTTCCTGTCTTTGGTTGAATATTTTTGAATTGGCAACAGTGCTTGCCCACACATCACACGTTGAAGTCTGCAAATCACGCGTAAAATATTCAACTTGGCAACATCTATAGGAGGCTAGACTCCTTCATAATGCGCAACTTACGCGCGCAATGCAAATGGCCGAATACGCCCGAATAGCACGTGTTTGTCGTGTCGCGTCGCGAATCGCGGACAATCCAGCGCGAGTGCATTGCATTGTTTATGTTTATGTTAGGTTAATGGTTAGGGGCTCTATAAATTCCTGGTAAATTAGTGTTTTAAACGATTGCGATTTAGTGGAATACTTTTTGGTCAACCCATTCAGTGCTCTGTCTTATGAACATAAATTGATTGTGAAAAACAAACGTCTGACACCGGAATTAAAGAATCTGATTGTAACAGGTAGCAATCAAAATCGTTCGTTCAATTCTGATAATTATTATAAAAAATATATCTGGTTGACGGCATCTGAGGTGAGGAATAAGCTATTTTGTTGGTACTGCGTATTATTTTCAACCGATAAGTCATCATGTTGGGAGCGATCAGGATATAATGATTTGAAAAATTTGCCTCGCGGATTTGGATAGACACTGTAAATCACAGGAACACCTCTTTTCAAGTATTAAGTTCAGGTTAACTGGTAAACAGAATGTCATTTGAGCTATTGATTTGGGTGAGTCGTAGAGAGTTGTTTTTCACAATGAATCTCATATCATTCAGCCTCCTCTGTCATGAAAGTCACGAGCCGCCACTGACAGTTACTGAATCAGGAGAAATTAGAAAACTAGAAAAGAAGAAGATATAATCAGAAATCAGACACCTGGGAAAATCTTCGACGTCTCAGACAGGCTTAGATACTACTGGGTACATATTATAACCTCGAAAGATCGAACGTATATGTCAACCTGAATAAAAATAAACTTCCTATATTAACAACTAGCTGTCCGACCCGGCTTCGCACGGTTGGTGTACGCATTAAAAAAATAGTAATCAGTTCTGGTATAATTGTTGTTGAAAACAATTTTCTCTTCAAACGGGAGACCTTCCAAATTAAGGCAATTCGGCACACTTTCATTGATCACCCTGAGACAACTCAGTCACAAGGATTTTTGGAAATCGAAAATGATACCTCGATACCCAAACCCAATGGAATAATACTTCAGTACAAGAACTGAAAACAAAATTGAAATCGCTTGTTTCCTTTGGAAGTTTCAAAGTTTTGAATGAGAGTGGAATTATGCTTCCTTACGTTTCAATTGTTAAGCAGTTTATATCTACAAAGTTATTAGAAATAATGATGCACTTCTGAAAGATAATTTCCGCAGAATCCAGTGGCGTACTCATTTTTTTTTCCAATGGAACACCCTGTATTTTATTTTATCATTGAATTCGTTATTCTTTCCCCTTCAAAATTATGTACAATACTTCAAACAAAGGATTTCTAGAAATGCTCTCTTAAATTGTACTGTTATTTATATTTCATATTTTTGTCCAATAAATATGCATCATTTGCCTGTGATGAATAAACTGATTGATTGTGTTTCACTCTCTGTTAACTAATGAGATTTTTTTTACAGTTCTTTCTACTGACATATGATTGTGTATAATTCTGCGTGGCCGCCATGGCCAACCTAAATTTTTTTTCATTTCATTATCTCGAGAACACTTACTTTCAGATTAACCTTCGTAATACTAAGTGGGGTAATTTTGTATCCTAAATTGGGATTTTTTTCGTGGTTTATGGCGATAATTTTTGTTGTGTATCAATATTCGATAATCTTCTCAAATATGCTCTTTCTATGTATTTTCTAGTCGTTATATAGAATATCAGATGAAAAAAACCATGCCATTCAGTATTTTCAGACATTCAAAGTACATGGGGAATAAAAATACCAAAGTAAGTAATGTACGTACTCGGCGGAAATCTGTAATCAACAGACAAGTTGATTCCTGTCTTTTTTCGAGTTCAGATTTGTAGGATCTCTTTTGCCCACATTGATTTTGACTCTCATGGTGTGAATACCAATCTGCTTGGTTATTTGTGTGTTAGCGTGACCATATGGTCACGGTTGTTCCTGAGTTACGTAGTCGTCCAGTAGTTCCAGCAGGTGAAAAGATATCTGGACGTTGTACTCTTTGTCCTCGGAAAAAATGATCGGAGAACCCGTAACAAATGTGAAATTTGCGGACAGTTTGTTTGTGTAGAACACAGAAAAAAGAAAATAATATGTAACACACATGTAATAATTGATATCTCAAAATATTTATTTGATAAGTTGATTTTTATATTTTGTATTAGTTTTATACTGCATACTTCATAAAACTTATTGATATATGTGGACAAAATTTGTTATTTGTTTATTTTTCAAGTGCAAATCATATTATAAAATTGAATATTATAAATATATATGAAAACAAGATGGGATACAAAATACCCGTTAGTAATGTAGGGGTATTAGAATTACTCAGTATTACGAAGGTTAACCAAAAGGGCATTCTAGGAAATAGTTTAGCTGAAATTTCACATTTATCCTAATCCTAATCATTCCTGTATCAATCCATCCCATCCAGTCCGCCGATGGACACCATAGGTGTATGTATGTATGCATACATGTATATGTATCTTTTATGAGTTATAATACCTGTTAGTAAGGCCATTAAGGGATGCCAAACAGAGTGATCCTGAAAAGTAGTTCGCAACTGCTGCACAGATCTACTTAGAGAATGAAGACATCTCACTGCTGCCAATCTAATTTCTTTATTCTCATCACCCAAACCACTGACCACTCGATCCATCAAACATTTTGTGTCTATTATTCGTTTTCTAATGTCTTCGTCATTTGCTCCGAGAGATGCAAAAGCCCTGAAAACAAATAATAAAATCTTTTAAAAAAAGGCATATTGACTCAATAGGGTCGTCGAGTACATGTTTCCTTTCTTTGACGTTCTCAATATGCATAATATAATGGAAACCGCTCTCCAGTTTGAAGACCTAAATGAATTCAGTAAAAACTTGGAATGGTATGGGAATACACAAAAAATTCAAGTATTCATCACCTTTTTTTGTATTGACTCGGCCATAACTTGATGGAAATTCATAGTAAATGTAAATAGTTATTTGTTTTACTATGAACTATCAGTTGCGGCTGTCAATCTACAGTTGCTGCCATGTGAAACATAATTTTTTCTCCAAATGTTATGAAACCAATTTTGTGTAACTTTTTTATTGAAAATTCCATCAATTTGTGTTCACCCTATGTCAGTGTCAATTTTTATTACCAATTTCATTCTAATTACTTGGAACCCCAAAAATGATACATAACAAAAATATTTTTCAGATATAAGTATTGTGATATTGTTGAAATAACATTGCCATTATGTCCTTCTGAAGTATCCAACATAATATTATGAAGTAAAACGTTTATGAGACGTTCAGTTGCGGCTGTCAATCTACAGTTGCTGCCATGTGAAACATAATTTTTTCTCCAAATGTTATGAAATCAATTTTGTGTAACTTTTTTATTGAAAACTCCATCAATTTGTGTTCACCCTATGTCAGTGTCAATTTTGATTACCAATTTCATTCAAATTACTTGGAACCCCACTAAAAATGATACATAAAAATATTTTTCAGATATAAGTATTGTGATATTGTTGAAATAACGTTGCCATTATTTCCTTCTGAAGTATCCAACATAATATTATGAAGTAAAACGTTTATGAGACGTTGCATCAATATTAAAATCAATATTATTATATAATATTGTAATATTATGGATTATACAGAAATCATATACCTAAGCTAGGTATAATAGGCCAGTCATTGGGGATTTTTACCTGGAAAAAAGTCCGGAAGTTTTGAAACTTTGTAGGATTATAGTTTTGGGTGTCCAGAACTAAAATTCACAAAATGCACATTCCGGGACATGCCGCCGGCGCCGTCATCTTGCCAAGATGGCGCTCAAAAACGGTTTTTTAAAAATATCTCCAAAACGGTGCGTTTTAAAAAAAAATATGAGGACATAAAAATTTAAGATGAATAAATTTTCTACAAGAAATGTTCTCAGTATATTTTTGCTGAAGTGAGCCGTTTAGGCCCAAGAGCTGATTGAATGACATCATATTCTGTTAATTTCAATAAACTGCCCCTAACTATCTCCAAATATGCGTATATCTTCTCTAATGAAACAAGCTATCTAATTGGTTTCTCGCTATATTTATAGCTTGCTGACAGAGGATATTTCCTATAAAATATGTTCCTAGAATATTCTCGCTAAAGTACCCTCCTTAAGGCCCAAGTGCCCTTACCAAATTACAAATGTTGCGTAAGTTTTCTGTAGTGGCGAGTTTCGGAAATAATATGTGTATTAGGGGTCCCCAAATCTGATATTTAACGGCTTTAAAAATATTTCTCACGAAACGGTGGATATCCATTATTCAATTAATCGATGAATTCATCAATTAATCCATGTTGATAATTTATGATCAATCAATTTCGATTTTATCCTAGCTGAGTGTCCAATGCACGAACCAGAAAGAGTACTTCTCAACATACCACTTAACCTAAAGGACATATTGAGTTACAACTGTGATATCAATTTATTAATACATTTCCTAAATATCATACATATTAGTGACAAATTGTAAGAACACAAATGTACACGTATACTTAACTCCGCTAATGACCTAACGGTTTATGCGACTTATTTGAAATTAAAAAAAAAAAAAAAAATTTCGATTTTAAATGCTGTACTTGTTTCCACACCACCCAAGAGGCTAAGTACACGGCGCGTTTTTTTTAACGTGGTTTCCCCTGTAGTCCTAATCCATTCAGGTACTGAAATTATTTTTGGCAAAGGCCAGACGGACCTGGCTCGTTGATTTCGATATATTCAACGGGGAAACTGGTTACCTCAGCTCCAGAATCGTTGTTAATTTCCTTCAACTCGTCGGATTCTTCTTCTGCAGTCGATAAAGAATCATCATGCAGCGAATGGAGGTCTTCTTCATCGGATTCGTCCAGTGTCACTTGGCTGATATTTTCACAAGTTTTCCCGTTGCAGACACCGCAAATCATCGAACATCGCAATCCTGCTTTCCTGCATCCGCAGGCTCTACCACAAGCGGCCTTGCACTTACAAGATAAAAAAGCAAGTAGTGCTTTGGAAGCAGGATCTTTCAAAGTAGTTATTGGAGTGAGTCCAGTTTGTGTTTTCTTCCAACCCCATTCTTCAACTACTTTCGGACAACCACGCCATAGTTGAACCTGATAGTACGTTCTCAACGAATGCTGTCGTGCAGCTGCGCTTGTCGGTGGTAAAGATGCCAAATTGAATTTACTTTTTGTTACCGACTTCACGAAACACTGGTATCGATATTTATCAAGATTGGTGTAATTTGTGTTTTTGAATCCATAGAGTTCAAGGAAAAATTTCTCACCGGCAAAGGCAACTTGATCAGAGGTGGCATGTTCATTTTTAAAAACTTTAATATGATCTTGTAACTCTTTATGTTTATCTAATGTTGTTAGAAACTTCATTTTTCCTTGGTTAAATACGGTCTCGCAATTTTTTCATGTCAGTTTTTCTCGTAAAATTACTGATTGGCAAATTGTGTTCGTTAGGAAAGGTAATTTAGTTGATGAAAAAGTTCTTGTGTTTTTACCGTTTATAAAAATATCTCATCTGAAATATATATTTTGTGTATTTACTCATTTTGGGATGGAGTGGTAAAGACAAGGAAGCAAAATTCCAAATTTCTATGAATTTATGGGCGGTTTTACAGTACGAGAAGGTACCTATATCTACGGATACATAGTATAGGTACGAAATTTACTCATAACCATTCTGCACCCACATACTTCTGGAGCAAAGTCGCCAGATTCGTCGATAATGCAATTTTTATATCGCCCAAATAATCGCAAGTCACAAATGCAAAATTTTTGTCGCATAATTGATCTAAAAATCGTCCAATATAACGAGGAACAAATTGAATAGTCCGTTTTATGATGAAATATGAATTTATACGCATATATGGAGAGAGTTAGGGGCAGTTCATAGAAATTAACAGAATATGTTGTCATTCAATCAGCTCTTGAGCCTAAACGGCTCTCTTTAGCAGAAATATGCTCGGAACATTTTTTGTAGAAAACTTCTTTATCTTAAATTTTTATATCCTTATATTTTTTCTAAAAATGCACCGTTTTGGAGATATTTTCAAAAAACCGTTTTTGAGCGCCATCTTGGCAAGATGGCGGCGCCGGCGGCATGTCCCGGAATGTGCATTTTGTGAATTTTAGTTCTGGACACCCAAAACTATAATCCTACAAAGTTTCAAAACTTCCGGACTTTTTTCCAGGTAAGCCTTATTTTGGATCCCCAATGACTGAACTATAACTGGATTTATGAAGCAGAATAACTAAAATGATACTTGGAAAATTTAAAATTGGGGTCGTTGGGATAGTATGGAATACTGCAAAATTGACCGATTATCGAATCCTGCACTCCTGCCAAATTTGAATCTAATACCTTCAGAACTCTCTGGAAACCATGGCTTGTCTAAAATATTCGATGATATCCGGTGTGTTTGAAAATGTACAACACAGTGATATCGTTGAGCAGGATAAGGTGATCTAAAATTCTGTTGAAGTTGAGTTTATGTTTCTTGAACATATCAGAATGCAACATATTGTGAAAAATTCAATATTTTTTTTATGTTCTGCTTCATCTTATCGCCCTCAATGAAACATTAAAAAACCCTGTTAGATATCACCATATAGGTCTTCATGTCGAAAAGGTGGAATAACAAAGAAGTACTGACGTACTCAATGAAATGAGCTATTATAATCTTGAAAGAAATTGAAAATTGGTTGATCCAATCCAAAGTTATGGCGGTTCGAAAATGATAGAAGCTTCTCACTTCAAATGTGGGACAGTTTATTTCAATCTCGGGGACCCGAAATAAAAAACGGAATTAGGAAGGTCATATCTGTATTTGCTCAAGTAATATGTGAGTACTCTTTTTCACGGACACCTTGCATATTGGGATTCAGGAAGAAAATGTAAGAATACACATATAAAAGAATCATTTTTGATTATAAGGCGGTTCAAAATATAGATTATGTCCCTACCCATCTGTACCGACTAGGTGCACAATTTTCAAAACATTTGAATCTATGACTAAACTAAAAACAAAAGGAGTTTTACTAAAGGAGTTTCAGCAAAAAGTTATTTTTCTATCTAGTGCGCGAAATCCTACTTTGCTGATCCAAAACTAAAATAGTCCAAATGACCGTATTTCGCGCACGAGTTGCAAACAACATTTTTTCTACAAACGTCAAAAAACATTGTTCTAAAGTAGTAATATTCTCAACTAATATAAATAATAGTGGATGTTTGCTGGATTGAGGGCTATAAAGTTTAAATACAGAAATCTCTTATAGTTTACATTCAAATTCGCGCATCGTTTTACTTCGCGCACTGCTTCGCACATGGTTACACAGGATTCAAATAATTGGTTTTCCAGCTGGTGATTCATTATTAAAAATCCAAGGCTCTAATAACTCAACGAAATATCTATAAGCGAGTTCATCACAACATACCAACCTGAAAGCAGCCCCTCGTGCTGCTACACTAGGACAATTCAAGAGATTCACCAATGCACTAACAAGTTGATTACTAATAGCAGCTATTTGCTGTAAATTACTGTCCACTTCTGTTAGATTAGCTAAGGTATTGGCTGCTGCAGCTCTATGAACTTCTGAGTGTTCAACCTATCAAAAGATAAATCTCATTAGTAGATGTCATAAGTGAGGATTTATTTATAACCAAACAAGGACGGTCCTACGTGAAGGGGTAGAGAGTTTTATTATCCCTCCTCCTCCACAGAAAATAAAATACACAATTTATTGTGCACCTACACCAACAACGCATTAGTGTCATTTTGGACAGCTGTTGCAATTTTTCGTTGCGTTGCAGGAAATGCGTCCGCTCCAGTCGCTAGATGGGTCCAACCATATATTAAATCAGGTAGTCCTGAAAAACCACCCAAAAACAGCACTTTTTCCAGTTTTTTACCTTGAACTCCAAAACGGCGCATGATTGCCAAATGCATCATATTCAGTATAAAAAAAGAAACTGCTGCTTTTTATTTCATTTGCATTTTCTGAGAACTTTTACCACAGTGATAGATATATTTTTTACACCATCACAAAGTAGAGATTTCAACGAACAAACAGCCCATAGACTTTTCTGAAAAAGCTTTGGAAAAGGAAATATTTTGACGCGAGAATTTTCTATTGAAAATTAGGGTGCTTTTTGATATCAAGTCAAAATAAGGTGAAAAAATGAATTTTTTTAATCAAAAAATTACAGTTTATTTGGGGCATGAAGAGTCAAGTTTTCACCAAATTTCGTGAAAAAATACTTCATTGTGAAAGAAAAAAATTAAAAATCAATCATTCAATTATCTGAATTTTTCACATAAATTTTATTTATTTATTTATTTATTTAATAAACGGATTCACCTTTACAATAGAAATTGATTATATAAAATCAAGGTGGCATAAGGACAATAACATCACAGCATCAACAGATGAAATTCAACACTTTTTTTTAAACACTACATCTTGTTGTTGAAACTATTTCCCTATTTACAGCCATTAGGTTGAGAAATTACATTCTGTCGTGAGAGAATGAGAAAAAGGGAAAAGAGAAAAAGAAGTATCAACTAAATTAATGGTGACTGATTAACCTAGGATCAATTTTACAAATTCTATTTTTAAATATGGCTAAAGACTGAACTAATGGGTCAATGTTAAATGCATTTAAATTACGCAAAAAGGGCTGAAGAACCTATAGTTGGTACTATGATTATTTATAACAAATAAATCTGTGTTTCTAGTAAAATATGAGGGAACATTGAAGTTAATCCTATTGAGAAGTTCATAGCAATCAATTTCACCTGAGATAATCTTAAACATAGTATAACTACCTAGCCTGAATCGACGGACAATTAAATTCGTTAGGTTGAGGGTATCAAGAGTATCCGAATAGTTGAAATGATGGTTAGTTCCCATTTTGTAGCATATTATGTGTTTGGCGAATCTAACTTGGGCTTGTTCAATTAGTGTGATATCACATGCATAGTATGGTGACCAAATCATACAGCCATAGTCCAATAAGGAACGTACAAGGGAGCAATACAAAATATACGATGTGTTGCATGAAAAATTTTTTGTATTACGCGATAGAAAACGTACCATTCTATTGGCGGATGCTGATACTTTCAGTACATGGCTCTTGAAGGTGAGACGTTCATCAAAGATGATTCCAAGATCTTTAATCTCGGTTACTTTTTTCAAGAATATATCGTTAATATTGTAATTATACCGGGTGACACAGAGTATCGGGTAACCCCTGTAACTTCTGCATTCGTCAACGGATTTCTCTGAAATTCGGTTCAGTTATACAGTGTGTCCCACTTACCATGCTCACCATGGGTATCTTTTTAACGGTGAGAGATACGAGGTCGGTTAAATGACACCAAATGTGGAGTTTGTCAAGGCCAACTATAATGTGAAAAAATATTTCGATAAAATCTATTCGTTTTTGTTTTATACGCAAAAAACAGATTTTGATCATTTTCATGTCTCCTCCGTAACTTCTTTATTTATGAAAATATTCAAATAGGAATTTCACATTCTCATGGCAGTTTTTCGAAGTGATTTCGAAAAAAATATGAAATTTATACCAACTCTTCTAGAAAACTTTAGTTTTTCAAATGTAGGTCATAGCTCACTATGACTTAGTTACAAATAACTTTTTTTTCTCTTACAGATATGTCGCAGTAATGTTTTGTGTTGATAACAACGGAGTTATCGTCATTTATACAAAAACAAAAAATTATTTGGAAGCCGCCATCTTGAATTTATAAATTTCAACAAAAAAATCTTGATCTCCGACCTCAAAAACCCCCACTTACCAATTTTGAATGGAATGGAGCAGCCATTTTTTTCAATTTCAACAAAAATTCCATAAGGTATTGTCACCGAAATTATGGTAAGTGGGGGTTTTTGAGGTCGGAGATCATGATTTTTTTGTTAAAATTTATAAATTCAAGATGGCGGCTTCCAAATAATTTTTTGTTTTTGTATAAATGACGATAACTCCGTTGTTATCAAAACAAAACTATTACTGCGACATATCACCTGTAAGAGAAAGAAAAAGTTATTTGTAAGTCATAGTGAGCTATGACCTACATTTGAAAAACTAAAGTTGGTGCTGATATCTCGAATTCTAGAAGAGTTGGTATAAATTTCATATTTTTTTCGAAATCACTTTGAAAAACTGCCATGAGAATGTGAAATTCCTATTTGAATATTTTCATAAATAAAGAAGTTACGAAGGAGACATGAAAATGATCAAAATATGTTTTTTGCGTATAAAACAAAAACGAATCGATTTTATCAAAATATTTTCTCACATTGTAGTTGGCCTTGACAAACTCCACATTTGGTGTCATTTAACCGAGCTCGTATCTCTCACCGTTAAAAAGATACCCATGGTGAGCATGGTAAGTGGGACACACTGTATAAGCAACTATTTCGGATTTGATCACATTACAATCCAATATGGCGGACTCCCGGTTTTTCTGGAAATGCCAGCAACTTTGTTCTTTCAAATGGAACACCCTGTATATTTTTACATATTCAAGTTCAACAGGTCAAAACAAGTGCAATCTTTATTTCAAATGTAATTTTTTTGAAAAAATTCAAATTAAAATTGTTTTTTCATTTTACCTCGTGGATAAATGAGATGTGGTCAATACTATTCACAATGAGTCACACATAAAAGAAAAACATAATTTTTTCTGGAAAATTATTTTTTTTGTCACTTATCCATATGTAAAAATATACAGGGTGTTCCATTTGAAAAAAGCAAGTGGCTGGCATTTCCAGAAGAACCGGAAGTCCGCCATATTGGACTGTAATCTGATCAAATCCGAAATAGTTGCTTATATAACTGTACCGAATTTCAGAAAAATTCGTTTACGAATGCAGAAGTTACAGGGATGGCCCGATACCCTGTGTCACCCGGTATAGGACAATATTATGAGAACGGGAAAACGATTTTGTAAGACAATTATCGGTACATCGGTATATCGAAACATTTTTAAGTAATCAGCAAAAACTAAGAACCTTGCACTTTTGAATACATCGGAAATGTCATTTATAGATTGAATAGTAATGGTCCACAGTGAGAGCCCTGAGGGACACCTGACGTGACCAGAATATCGTTAGATATATAGTTATTGATTTTAACTCTTTGTGAGCGGCCACTGAGGAAACTACGTAGCCATTATCGATATTATCCGCAAAACCGAAAGAACGAAGTTTCTCAAATAAAATTTTGTGGTCAACTCTGTCAAATGCCTTGGAGAAGTCCGTGTTAATTGCGTCAACTTGTTCGCCCCTCTTCAAGGCATCCAACAGGAAACCCTGGTAGGTCAGCAGATTGGTTACCGTGGATCTCTCCGAACAAAAACCGTGCTGCTGAGGTGTTAAAATGTTTTTACAATACCATGTTAATTTGGCAGTAACAAGTGTGTCTAATAATTTTGGTAAAGTAGACTGTAAACAAATTCAAAAATTTTGAGGTTATGTGAAAAAAAAGTAAAGACATAAGTTATTTTTACTTATTATAGTTACTATAGTTATTCCTATCTTTTTCCCATTGGGCTTGTAGTTTTTCCCTTTCATTTCCCGACCTCATATCGCCCGTAATTTATTTTTTCTACAAACTCAAAAAATGACAAGGTTCGCTCATTGATAACAAATTGCGAAGTGACACTTTTTTTCAGTTTCCTACGTTACCATGATACCTTGCACAAAACAATTCGCGAAGTAAAACAGTGCGCGAAGTACCTACTTCGTGCATTGTTATGTAAAATATATGAGATATTTATGTTTCAACTTTAAGGTCCTCAATCGAGCAAACATCTACGAAATCATTTATTTCTGAATGTTCAACAATAACTTTGTTTTATCTCTTGGAGCTCACGAAAGGAAATTCCTATTATGTTCATGGAACATTGTGCGTACCTAGGGAAGATAGGGGGAGGCCTTTTAAGCCAGTTCCAACACTATTTTTCATATCAAGCTAAGCATATATTTACTTTAAAACTATATTTTTTGACGTTTGTAGAAAAAATGTTGTTCGCAACTCGAACGCGAAATACTTTGGTCATCTCACTTTTTTTTTAACTCGGCTACGCCTCAGATCTCGATCACCAAAGTAGCATTTCACGCTCTAGATACAAAAATAACTATTTCCTTTCATCTTTGTACTTTGTTATATTCTCTACTTTTTCCAATGGGTTTCATTCTTTTTTTTTTTACTTTTCACCATTTTCAAAGCCTTCAGCATTGGTCTAATATATTTTTTTGGTGGTTGGCGCCTTATTAAGTTTCCCGTTCGAGCGCTGGTGCTGTTCAGGTTCCTGAACATTATTACCTTTAGGGAGACTCTTGTGTTAGTAACACTCCAGAGATACCCACCAAATTACATTAATCACTAGTATTATATTATCATTATTATTATATATGTTGTGTGATTCAGTACCATCACCCCGTATTATGTTTAGAATATCGACGGGTGCTGGTTTTATGACTAAGAGATATTGAATGCATTATTAAGGAGTTACATAAGCTAGATAAGAGGGGGTGACAGGGAATAGTTAGGATGACTAGTAGAGTTGAGACTAGAGAGCTGTAATGGTGTTATTGTCCTAGAATGCAAACTTGATATTTGAACACGTGGATATTATTCAAGCAGCTTCTCAGTTGTCCCCCCTTAACACTTGTGAAAGGTAGATAGCAATAACGATAATTATCAATTCATAAAATCAAAGGAGGATAAAGCAGGGAAGCAAACAATCATACAATACTCAGAAATTATAAGAAAATATTTCAATACCAAGGTATTGGTACTAAATAAAAATATTATGTTATACTATATAACAATGAAACCTCTAATTATGAATAAAATGTATCCATTGGTATTATGTTCCAAACAATTATTTCCATACTCCATACTCAGAAATTTCACCGGAGAACACTTGCGCCTGAAAAGTTATGGTGATGCTAGCGGCTGGTCATTTTGACTGACTACGAAATCCTCAATTTTGTCAGTATTTGTGTTCTTTATTTTGGTATCCAGCTACTGATATACTTTTTATAGAAACTTTATTGACTGTAAACAGAAAGTAGGAATGTTTTTGAACAAAGATAGAAATGACAAACTCATTATGTAATTAAAAATACAAGTGTTTGATTTCTGTTTCATAATCCATTATACAAAATACGCATCTAAAATAAGTTATCAGTTATCATCTATTCGATTTTGTCACATTTATTTCATTATAGCCCCTAATTTTATGTAGCAACGATCTTTTACAAATACCAGAAGTATAGACTCATTCGCCAGTCCAACTTGGGAAGACTAAAGCGGGGAGAGAATAGTTATTTGTTTAACTAGGCAGCAAAGTAGTAGATTGACTGCCGAGGCTGAATTCATAGCTGAGCGTAGAAATTATAAACGATTTATGGATTATCAATTTTCCTGATACATATCAATCAGCAAAGTAACCACTTTGCTGCCTAGGCAGGAAAAGTGGTACTTTGCTGATTGATATGTGTCAGCAAGATTAATATTTGCTGCCAATCGGAGAAAAAAAATATATGCTTGGCGGCAAATCGACCAGGATGCGAGCGTTCTGGGGTTAATTTGTCAACTTTGAAGTTAGATCCTTGGATAGATTAAACATCCAACATTGTCCAGTCAAATATCCATTATGTCAATATTGAACTCAGGATTGATCTTTGTCCATACAGTGTCAAAATGATTCACATCATCCAGCACATGCATCTGCATTAGATCAATTTGAACTAAATGAATATGTGATGAATACTGCATGAAATCAATGCAGTGCTAAATATGCATTTACACCATGTCAGTGCTCCAGTCAAATATACTATGAGACAATCTTGAACTCAATGTTCTAATAGTGGAATATCAACCATGATTCAGAAATTTATCAATAATGGCTGAAAAAGATGGCTTTTGTGAAAAATTCCTGCTACATGAATGAATAATATCAAGATTCAAATAATGATCCTGATCATTATTTTTTATCAGTGAATCTCCCCATTTATTATAATGGCTTCAACAGAAAACTTTGAACAATCAAATGTGTATTCTTATATAATTCAATAAGGGTGATTTTGTATCTTCCAGGAACACTGAACACATTTCAAAATCTTCGAAACATTGTATGTCCACAATCTTGTTGTGTAAACAGGTGACATAAGTTTATTTTTTATCAGAAATTATTTTTTGTTTTTGCTATTTTGTCATGTCTCTTTGTCTGTCTGGGGGGAAGCATTTAACCCCCATCTACCCCCTTCCTTCAGAAACGCCCTTGTTTACAGCTAGAAAATAGTAAAATAACACCTACTTGGCAGAGTCTAACAAGACATGGAAGGGTTCTATAGGTCACTATAGGATCATAAGCTGGAATAGCCCCAGCTCGATGTAGATTGGTAAGGCATTTAGCTGCTCCAAGTTGCATGTCAACTGGTTGATCCCTAGATGTCAATGTTTCTAGATAGTTAGGTAGTTTAGTATCTTTGCAAAACGTGTTTATTATTTCTCCAGCAACACCTGTATTGTTGAATGACATGGTAGCTAAACATTCAACCACTGATATCCTCACAGAATGATTCTGGGTAGCAAGCAGAGGTGCCAAAATACTATGAGCACCAACAGAACATAATAAATTTTGTTCAGCAGGACTTCTACAGACAGAATTCAGTATACTAGCTACACAAGACTGTCTCTGTAAACTTTCACTTGGACCAGCAAAAGTTAAAAGCTTTTGAAAATGTTTTATGTTGTATCTAACATCTGCTGCAGATGAATGGTGCAATAGAGTACGTAGACAACATAAACAAGCATCTATCAATCTTGGGTCATCTTCTTCTAATAAATCCAACAAAATTTGAATAGTCCCAGAATTGACCAATAATTCAACATGATCATCAGTTCCCTTAGCTAGAGATCCAAGGGTAACTGCTGTCTCTATGCGAACAGTAACTTTTGTTTTCTGATCTCTCAATAGATATATCAATCTGGGTACTATTCCTTGTGCAATGACACTCTCTTTCTGACGGTTGGAACCTATAACAGAGTTCTTTATGCATATTATTGATGACAGACATTTGCTTGGATCTTGGGAGTATAAATCATCAATATATGACCTGGTACTTTCCACATTCTGAAACAAATTGGGAACAATATTATTAGATTTCAAATGACAGTCAAAAGTATTACCAATTTTTGAGATTCATTGTTGATTTTTAAGAGCTCCAGATATCGCAGTTTCTGCATTGTGCATTATTATTCATAGGGTGCAATTTATGACTTTAAAATTAACATGTATTGTTAATTATTACTACTCACCATGAATGCTGTGAAAGACTGCATGTCTGAAAGCATTATACAAATATAAATCGAAATGTTTTCCAAAATAATAAATAAACAAACAAACAAACATAAACTCTAAACACGTTTTAAAGTTATTTTCTACAAAATATTTCCAAAATCAATCCTAAATCAAAACATTTTCCTGGCAGGCAGGTTATCAACAAACTTCTAAACTTCAAAATTACTAGAACAAAAACAAAACAAAGAACAAGAATTTGAAGACATCAAGAAGTCAAAGTCAACTTCAATCATCGGCGTCTCGGGGCAGAAGTCGTATTCAATAAAAAAGCGTAAAAGTATTAAGGTATGTTCATGCTTGTACGAATTCCGCAAAATTTATGCGAATCGCAAAATATGAAATTTCCGACAGAATTTGACGTTCATACTTATGCGACGAAATATGCAGGAGATAAGGGTTCTGTTGTGATATTAATTTCTTTATTTCTGGTCCTACCATTGATAGAAGTTCATCAAATTGAAGGCACGTTACACGAAAGTAAAAATATTTATTAGGGTCATTCAGTCGCATTTATCGAACGAGTCTGTATTAATCTCCATCAATTTTTCGGCATTTAAAAATGCTTCGAACAGTACAGCTCCTTTTTATGCTTCTGGATACATCATTAGTTCTATAGAGAAGATACAGATGATACTTTAAAATTAATTCGTCCAGAGAATCCATCCTGCGAAGAAAATTCAATCAAATGAAGGAATGATGAAATTTTTAATTATAATTTTGTACTTACCTGTAGTCTAGTGTCTAGTCTCGTCTTTTTTCAATCTCTGCAGTCCGCTCTCTAATTCCCCAATTTTGATGTTATCAAAATATCAACACGTTTTATCTGGTTATGATTCCATCTGGATTCGCAAAAATGTTCAAATATTTCAACTTCATTGCGATATTCGTAGTCGCCATTTTATTCGCATAAATTTTGCGGAATTCGTACAAGCATGAACATACCTTTAAAAAGAGAGGGTTTCGGGATCCCAGTTCTAGTTGTGTAAAACTGGCTCAGCCAATGCTTTGTGTTTTGTGTTTTCGAGAACCTATGACAACTTTACTGTCAACATTTGGTAAACAATCATTCCCGATAGCCCGTTTTATGCAGAATAGAATGATTTTTTAATGCGACTGTACAGCGTCCCCCACCCCGCGCAAAAACGTAGTTCTGCTGTCGGCAGTGTCGGCACATTTGATGTTTGCTAAGGTTCGATACCCCCCTTTGTTTACTGCGCACTCATAAGCCACTTTCTCTTTGATGTTTCATGCACCTGAGTAGCCCAGTGGAATGAAAGACATTTCAGTGAACTTTTACAATGAATGCCCCTATGCATGCGCTCTTAATGTTTACCTTTTGAAAATTTTGAAATATAGCCAATCTATGTCGATAATATCTAATAATTCTGGAGACAAGTACGTTATAATTGTGAGTAGAACTATTCTGATACATGAAAATAGAAAATAATCTTTGAACTTGGCCAAAAATAGCTTGTCATTTGATAGCCACCTTACATTTGACACTTTGACAGTGACAGAGGGGTAGGGGAAGGTAGATGGTGTTGCATGGTGAAGCACCGGTGCTTCAAGCACAAACAGAAAGAAAGCGTTCCTGCCTATTTCTCATTATCGACTGGCACCGGTGTTACTCAAATGAAAAGTGGCTCTACTTGGATATTTGGATATTATTATAATACGTCTTTTGAGACTCGTAAGAGGTGGTCACTTCGAAGGCGCAAATTTATTTACTGTTGTAAAATGCTAGGGAAATGGACGTAATCATCCTAAATTATGAAAGAGGCAGCGAAGAGAATAGATGTCAGTTGATGTCAGATCATTGTCAGGAGTTAATTTCATGAATGAATTTCCATCTTGACAAATAACCTAAAACAACTGGAAATAACGGTATCTAAAGATATTTCCATCATTACTTCATGAGAGATAACTCTCAGATTTTTTGCTATTCAGTTACTTGACCACAAATGACATTGACGTTTTAGTCTTCTGCGCAACCAAAATCAAGATGACACGAGTAGATTCGACATGGATACAAAATTTTGTGAGAAGACCTAAAAAACTGGTTTTGAAGAGGTATTACACGAGTCGATTCGATATGGATATTTTGTGAGAAGACCTAAAATACTGGTTCTGAAGAGGTATGATGTTCAATCTGGGGCCAGGTGCGCGTGGCAGTCGCATGAAATTATGGTTGCACAGTAAACAAAACGTGGTAACGAACATCAATGGTGCCGACGGTAAGTGCGACTCATATATCTACTACTGTATGTATGTATGTATGTATGTATGTATGTATGTATGTATGTATGTATGTATGTATGTATGTATGTATGTATGTATGTATGTATGTATGTATGTATGTATGTATGTATGTATGTATGTATGTATGTATGTATGTATGTATGTATGTATGTATGTATGTATGTATGTATGTATGTATGTATGTATGTATGTATGTATGTATGTATGTATGTATGTATGTATGTATGTATGTATGTATGTATGTATGTATGTATGTATGTATGTATGTATGTATGTATGTATGTATGTATGTATGTATGTATGTATGTATGTATGTATGTATGTATGTATGTATGTATGTATGTATGTATGTATGTATGTATGTATGTATGTATGTATGTATGTATGTATGTATGTATGTATGTATGTATGTATGTATGTATGTATGTATGTATGTATGTATGTATGTATGTATGTATGTATGTATGTATGTATGTATGTATGTATGTATGTATGTATGTATGTATGTATGTATGTATGTATGTATGTATGTATGTATGTATGTATGTATGTATGTATGTATGTATGTATGTATGTATGTATGTATGTATGTATGTATGTATGTATGTATGTATGTATGTATGTATGTATGTATGTATGTATGTATGTATGTATGTATGTATGTATGTATGTATGTATGTATGTATGTATGTATGTATGTATGTATGTATGTATGTATGTATGTATGTATGTATGTATGTATGTATGTATGTATGTATGTATGTATGTATGTATGTATGTATGTATGTATGTATGTATGTATGTATGTATGTATGTATGTATGTATGTATGTATGTATGTATGTATGTATGTATGTATGTATGTATGTATGTATGTATGTATGTATGTATGTATGTATGTATGTATGTATGTATGTATGTATGTATGTATGTATGTATGTATGTGTGTGGGCGGTCCGGGACCGGCCTCTCTTTTCGGGCCCATTGTGCACCCACATTCCTGGGATCGCAAGTCATGGAGAAGGCCGATCTCGCGAGCAAATGAGACCAACTTTCTAGGCCAAATCTTTTTAACATCCTCTGGGTCCAGAATACTCCCCTCAAAATGGATATCTCTTGCTGCCACTACTGCCGGGCATTCAGTGAGGATGTGAGTAGAAGTCTCTTCATCCTCTAGGCACCATCTGCATTCAGGATCCTCCATAATCCCGATCGTGCTGAGATGCTTGTTCAAGTGTCAGTGCCCTGTCAGAAGGCCCACCACCAGTTTCAGCTCCTTCCTGTTCAAAGCCAAGAGGGCATTGGTCTGTCTTCGTGACGGGTTTTCTATATGGAATTTGGACTGCCTCATTCCAGGAGCCTCTCTTCAGCTGTCTTGAAACCTTTCCGTCAGGATTTCCTTCATCCTGAAGTTGCTCCAGGATCGAGTGACTCCTAAGATTGGCTCTGGACCAATCACTGAACCCTTCGCCCCCTTTCTGGCCAGACCATCGGCCATTTCGTTACCTGGTACCCCTGAGTGCCCAGGGACCCACGAAAGACATACTTTGTTCGTTGCTGACAGCCTTTGTAGGCTGTCTATGCACTCTGACACCAAGGCGGAGATCACCCTATACGAGGTGAGCGCCTTGATCGCCGCCTGGCTTTCAGTGCATATAGTGATTTGCTGGCTGTGATAGCCCCTATCGATATTCTCTCGAACACATGCAAGTATTGCAAATACTTCAGCCTGAAAAATCATGGCATGTTTCCCAAGGGTATAGTAATGACTTGCCCTTGGGGACTGCCCATAGACCCCAGCACCTGCGCATTCTTCCATCCTGGAGCCATCTGTATACCCAGATGATGCCCTCGGTGGGTATTATGCAGTGCCCATTCTGTTCCCAGTCTATCCTAGTAGGAATTTTGACTTAGGGCATTTTCCTGAATCGAATGATCGGTGTTATGCTGTCCCCTTTCAAACTGAGTGAGGGTTAGTCGTCTGTAATTTGCTTCCAGAGGCGAGAATGTCCGTATGTTCCTTCGCTCCTCCACTGGTTACAGCTTTGTAAGCAAACGGCGGCCTTCATCACCCCGTGATATACAGGTTCAGAGGTGGCAGTCCGGTCAGAATCTCCAGCGCCCATGTCAGCGCCGTCCTCATTCTTCCTGTTATGGATATGCTGGCCAGTCGTTGATAACTCTGTCGAGCTGACTCCTCGACTTGCCTGTCAGCGTCCCCGGCCACCATACGATGGTACGATATGTTATCATTGGACGTATGAGAGCGGTATACATCCAGTGAAGGATACTTGGCTTGAGCCCCCACGTTCCCCCAAACGTCCTCCTGCACGCCTAGAACGCTGCCGTAGCCTTCTGGACCTTCCTCTCAATATGCTCGTTACAATTGAGCCTAGAGTCGAGAAGGTCTCCTAGATATTTGGTGAAGCCTTTATATCGCAGGGACTTACCCGATAATCGTATATCGGGGAGATCCCCTAACTTGCGTTTTCTGGTGAAAAGTACTATTTTTGCCTTTTCAGGGTTAGCTTTTAGTCCCGTGCTACGACACCAGCGGTCCACCCCGTCCAAGGCCCGTTGTGCATGTCTCCGACTGGGAGTGAACCCCTTACTGTCGATCAGGATGACTATGTCATCTGCGTAGGCCTGGACAGAGATAAGTTAGTGGGTAACTTATCTCTGGCCTGGATATAGTATCCCATGCTATGTATCTTCGACAGGAGGTCGTCCACGACGAGGCACCATAGAAGGGGTGATAGCACCCCTCCCTGCGGGCAGCCTCTTGATACAAAGGCCTCCTCGAGGCTGTTTTGAAGAGTGGCTCTCACTATCCGTCTAGAGAGGAGTGCGTGCATCCACTTTATCAAAATTGGACTAACACCCCTCTCC